CCTGGCCAGGTCTAACGCTCGGCTTTAAAAGTAGGAGAAAACACAGTGAAAGAGAATACCGGAGGAAGGACCCTAACAAGACAAAAATGTAGATGGCTTGAAGCTGCTCATATTTTAATTGAAGCCTTAAAGTCTATGACAGTGAAATTCTTTAGGGGGAAGAATGACAAATATCACCCCTATAAATACCTGTTAGCAGTGCTCCAGTTGGAGAGCTGTGTGCAAAAATGCACAGTCCCTAGCTGTAGTCAGAGCCAGCACCACTGTGGCTTCCTTTCCCATTGGTCTAGGCCAAGCTTCTGCTCCCAAAATGTGCACTCCAGACCACTCCTAGCCCTGTCACAAGGAGGAAGAAGGACATAGCCTCTTATCCCATGGAGTCCTTATAAGTAGTCCCTTTAAGGTCTTTGTTTCTTACATGCATTTCTTTTCCAAAGACTTTGGCTTCTAAAACTGCTCCCAGGTTTTCAAAGCCATACATTTGTTGTTTACTTTAAATTTTAATTCCTTGAAAACTCATAAGATGCCTTGAGCTTATCATTAGAAAGATGTCACCATTCACAGGATAAAAATCATCAAGAATTTCTATACATAAAAACCACTTTGAAAGCGAGAATAGTGCACCAAACCCCCCAGTCTACTGATGTAAAAACAAAGATTGAAAAAAAAAAATCCTTTCCCAGGAAATAGTCACTAACTAAATTACATTAACTGTCTTTTTAAACCAGTGTAGATAGATAGACATAATCTTGGCTGGATTTTTTAAAGAGTTTTTTTTTTTTTTTTGATTGTTGTTGTTTTAATATATACACTTATCAGTCACAGCTGGGTCTCCTTGCTGTTTCCTATTTTAATTAATGATCCACACCAATTTCTAAAACTCCCAAATTATTACATGAGCTCTTTCATAATACAGGTTGATATAAAAGCATGTGGTAGAGACCCTGAACTTGTACACTTAACAGTGGTGCCTCTTTAGATATTTTCTCTGCTAAATTAAGCTGTGTCACCCCAGGGCACTAAATGTGAATTCTCTTAGTCCAGTTGGAGTTAGCATCATTTCCTGGCTGCGTCTGGCTTTATATGTGTTTGAAATACGGGCTTGCGGAAAGATCTAGAGTCAGGAGGTCTGGATTCTGGTCCCTCCTCTGTCATCCACTGGGTTACGTGATCCCGGATTTGCTCCTCACTTCTCCAACTTCCTTCCCATGAGCCTTAAATAAGATAAAGCAGGGATGTTTAGGATAGCTCCCAAGCACACTATGAATGCAAAGGAATTTGATGATTAACCAGATATCATTTTTAACTCTAAGCTCAGGTTTGTACCCGGTTTGCTGACACACCAGGATCTCTCTGCATTCAGTCTCATCTTTTACTTTACCCAGAAGAAGTTCATTCTTTCTTTCTATTTGCCACCTTCCTGACAAGCGACATCAACACTCTCATCTGGGAATTACTGCATTTCTATTTTTCCCTCCTGATGCCAGAGTTGCTGTTGACGATATGCATTCAGGCCATGCAGGGGCTCACTGCGTTCCACAATCAGATGCCATGCACACTATTTCCGTCAAAACAATTAGTGTTCATTTCGGCTTTACTCGGGGAGACCTGCGGTGACTGATCAGTATAAATTATAGATGCAACTGTCCAGATGCACTTGTTCATCCATGCATAGATTTGAGGAAATTTCATTTTTCTCCCTTCAAAAACAGTCCCTAAAAAATTCCATATTTAAGAAATAAAATTCAGAACATTTTCATCTATGTTGTTACGCCCATAGACTCACACATTCTTCCTGTGATTTGAATCATTTGAAGTTGATTTGGGGCATTTCTGGGTTGTTATTTCCCTCCCTGTAAAATCTACTGCCTTTATAAATCATTAGGAAATGATGGATATTTAACCCAAAATAATGTAAGATGATTTGTTGTCTTCTTTTTTTTTGGTGGTACCTGAATTCAAATTTATTGTCAAAGTCACATCCTTTACTCTGCCTGTTTCAGTGTATTTAAAGCAAAGCAACATGAAGTTCAAATAAGCAGTGTGCGTTAGTACTCTTTCTGCTCCAAATAAGCCTTTCACTGTTTATTTTGTTTCGTATTTGTTTTAATGAACAGCTAGAGGAACTATCCGGGCATATTGCGTAATACAACAAAATAATCTGTCTCAGTTGTTTAAAATACTTTAGATGAAATGACTCCCTTAAATATAACTGGGAGGGTCCATATTTTATAGGTGTATTTACTTGCTTCAATAAAATTCTAGGTGTATACATATACAATTGGGCTTTTTTTCCGAAACCAAATTAATCAGCGAGGAACAAAGCGATGAGAAGCCAGCATGGTGGGGAGCAGCACAGAGCACTCAGCTGCCGAAGTGGGCGCCTGTCAACAGCCGGGAGCAGATTCTATAGCAGCATCCCTGAATCAGACTTTCCAAGAAGCAGGCTTCTTTTCACTGGAGTTTTCTTCCAGAGAGAGGTTGATACTGGTTTAACCTACTGATTTTGTTTTGCTATAAGGGTCCCAAAATAATGGGAAGAGTATGGACGCTTCATAAGGACCATTTTTGGAGAACCCTACTAACTAAATGCTCATGGTGGTGACAATCAGTTGTCAGCAGCACTGGCTAGGTTTGCTGTAGGTGCCTCCTCTCCCTGGGAAAGGCGTGTTACATCTGGAAATGGCAGCGTTCCTTCCGGGAAGACATTCTGATACAATAAGCAACTTTGAAGACAATGGAAAGGTGTCTTAACATAAAAGCTGCTCTTTTGTTTGTTTTCTTTTTCTGTATAGGAAGAAAAAAGCTACCGTCCAATTTACTTCACCACTGTTCTTCATCTCTTTTCTTTTTCTTTTGAAAAATCTTGTCTCTTTTCTCTGATCCTAGAGAGCAAAGACAGGAGGTAGGCCTGAAGGGCCTGAATACACAGACACCACAGAGATCTTATAAATCAGCGAAAAATCAATACATGCTATATGGTAGTTTCTCCTTTGCAACCAGATCGCCAGGGGACAGAACTAATGCTTTTCCTCCACCACCATCCCCATTTTTCTGTCATAAAAAAAAAAAAAAAAATCCTGCTTAAGAACGAATAGGCAATCAAAGTTGCTGAGTAAGTATTTCAACTATCTAATTTTATTACTTTACAATTGACATACCTTCCCTCTGGAAATGTTTGCAATTAATTAATTAGCAGTAATCTTCCCCAAGGGACTAATTTAATGAATTCTCTCCAATTCTTACTTTAAAAAAAATAGCTTAGATGTATCCAAGCTGTAAACGTGTGAATGGCTCCAAAGTGCATTTTGAAAAAATCAAGGGATCTATCTATTACCGTGAATTTTTATCACTAAATCAATCTGGCGGTAACCATCATTCTTTTTCTAACGAGGAGTTTCCCGGGTTGAACACAAGGTTTCTCCAGGGTAAAGACACTGAGTAACAGCAGCCAGGAAGCCTCGCAGGGTTGGTTAGTATTTAGAACGGAGCTCGTCCTCCTGTTAATAATCTCTTAGGTGGAGGAGTCTGCGGTGTGCAGCTGCTTTAAGCTCCTTGTGCGTTCTGCAGAATCCGTAGAGAGAAAAAAAGAAGCCAGAGATGTTCTAAAGGGGTCGCTGGCTTCCAGGCCTTTAAGTCCCCTCTGCAAGGTGCCAGAGGAAACCTCGCGGATCCCAGGCCAGGGCCCCAGACCTTGCCTGGTCCCTGGGCTTCCTCCTTGCTTCCAAGAATCCAGGGCAAAGACCCGGCTTGTTCCGAACCTCTGGCCCACACATGCTTGCCTGTCAACTAGAAAATAAAACTGGGCACTTGAACCACCCGCCCTGATTCCTCCGGGGAGGTGATGCCAGGGCCTGGGAGAGCGTTTTGTAAACTGTAAAGCGCGATGACCCCGTACGTAAAAGGCGAGGCTTTCTGAGATTTCTGGCCTGAAAACTCGAAAGCCCGAGTTCCACTTGGATCCAGGCAGCATCCCCCGAAAACCTGCCCTCAACAGACTGGCCTCCCCTTTGCGCCGCTAGATGTGGCGCTAGATGTGGCGGGTTGGAGGCCCTCAGCGCGGAGGCTCCAGGCCTGGGGACTGAGCCTTCGGGTGCGCCGAGTCTACGGTGTTCGCAAACTGGCGGCCGCTTGTCCGGGAGCCAGGCCCAGAGGACGCAGCCCCCTCCCGGGCACCAACGACTCATCCGCCCATCAGTGTCCCCTTGAGGACCCCTGGGATGGAGGAGGGTGGTCAGACAGCTGGGCCTAGCCAGGCGTCCAGGCGGAGCGCCGGGAATCGGCCGCCTCCCAGCGCGCTGAACCGCGGCTCGCCAGCGCCACCCCCAGCGGAGCGCAGAGGCTGCAGCTCGGCCCTGGCGCCTTCCTGCGGCTCCCCCGCTCCCCCGTGGACACAGCGGGCGGTGCGCAGGAGGCAGCCAAGCCTCGCCTGCGGAGGAGATGCCCAGGAGTCCTAGCTCCAGGACTGCAGATGCCAGGGGTCAGACTTGGGGCGTTTCCAGAGTCCGAGAGGCTCTGAACCTTGGCCTCGAGGGGGCGCTATTCGGCCTATCCGAGGGCCAGGAGGCTGCAGTGAAGCCCCGGGGTCAAGGCTCTGGAAAAGGCCGGGGCTTGGAGAGCCCGAATCTAGCTAGAGTCCTGGGGAGACTGGGGCAGGGAGAGAGATCCCCGAGGACAAAGACGGGCGGGCCAGTGGGACCCACCGACGCTGCGCAGCGCTGCCCCAAGTAACGCAGGGCCTGTGGAGCGAACAAACTTTCCTTGCAGGGGAGGGGCGGGGGAGCCGGGCTAGAGGCTTCTCCCCCGAGCCTCGGCTCTCCTCCACCTGCCAGTGCTCAACCTCCGCCCAGCCTTCGCCCACCCCAGTTCCTTCCCCTCCCCCGCGCGCCTCTGTTCACTTAGACTCCTCATCTCTCTCCTCTCCCCTCCTCCTTCTCCCTCTTGCCTTTCTCCCCGACTTTTCTTCTCTTTTTTCTCCTGTCTCTTTTGTATTCTCCCCTCCCTCGCCGCCCGGCTTGCTTCTATCCTCCTCCGGTCCGCAGGGGAGGAGGTAAGCGCGCTGCGCCCGGGGCCTGCGCGGCGCAGAGGGAGGCGTTTCTCCTACTTCTCCCGGGTAATTTGGAGAGATTGTCTGTGCGCGCGCGCGTGAGTTTAAGGCGAAAAGGTGTAAGATCCAGCGCCAAGCAGAGGGTCAGGGTCTTTGACGTTCCTCACCAGCTGCACAACCTCCCAGAACCAGTGTGAGTGCGGGTGACAGTGCGCGCGCGCACGGGCTGGCCGCGCTTGGTACGCTTGGTGGCCCGGGGCCCCAGGGCCCGGGGGCCCGCCTGGCGGCCTGGGATTACCGTGACGTCACATTGAGCCTCTGGCCACCTTGGACTGGGACGCCTCGGGAGCCGCACAGCCCCGCACCGCGCCTCACCTTGCCTCGCCACCGCGCGACTTTGGGAACCCGCATCCTCTCCCTTCCCCTGCCCATCCATGGGCCCTTCTGTCTTCCGGACCACGCCGGCCGGAGGAGCGCCTTCTGGAGCGCAGAGCTCGGCAGCCGGGCTGCCCTCGGCTCTGCCTCCAGTCGCGCCAAGCAGGCGGAGGACGCGGCGCTGGGCACCGGAGGCCGTGTAAGGAACCGAGGCGGCGCGCCGCTGGAGGCTCACAACCGCCGGGCTGAGGCGGGAACTCTCAAGAGAAGAGGGAGGCGGGCCACGGACAGCCACCATGTCCTTCCCGCACTTTGGACACCCGTATGGCAACGCTCCCCAGGTAAGAGGCGCCTCCATGGGGGATGGGGGCAGACTGGGTGGAGGGGGTGCCCAATGCATGCGCCTGCCCTTGAGCGCCCTCCTCTCGAGCGAGACCCCAGGGAAGCCAGAGGGAGCAGAGACCAGGGTAATGTTCCATGACCCCTCTGACATCCCCAGTCCCTGGCTGAGAACGTTTCACTCCTCCAGTGCAAACTGGAAAATCGTGTGACCCGAAACTTGGGCACTCTGACCATACGCTCAGTGAGGTGGGCGAGATCTCAGGGGTCTTCCACACAGGCCTCCTTCTTGTACCGAGGGGACCGCGAGTCTCCGACTTCCAGTTCAGAACGCTGTCCATCTCACCATTTCTCTGTTGTTCGTTTGTTGACCTCTGTTCTTATCCTCCCCCTTCCTTGGGTCGGCCCAAGCTTTCTGCTTCTGGTTCCTTCGATTTTCCAGACCAGGGTGAGTGTTGTGCAATGACAAGGGTTTCCTGGGGAAAGTCTGGGGACACCCACCACTGTTCTCCAGTTTCTCTCCAGAGTTCGGAGTCTAGTCCCAACTTGACCTGTGACCGGCCTTGTGATCTTGGACAAGTCTGCACTCTCTCTGGTCCTCATTCCCTGTCTGTAAAATGGGAGTAGGAGTGAGCCGTAATGATGGTCTCTAAGGCCAACTTCTAGCTCTGCCTTTGTAGGATCCTAAGATGGGGAGCAGGGAGGGTCGGAGAGGAAACCTGTGGAGCCTGTAATTCGGGTTTCAGAGTGTTCCCATCGCCCAGACCCCTGGGGCTCTGGAGCCTCAGCAATGGCTTAGGAGTATCTATAAAGGCAGTTTGGATAAATTAAGTCTTTGGCTAATTCCGGTCCCAGCACCCAGCAGAATGCTCAGCACTCGGTGACATTTAGTTGATGTTGAATGAAGGAGGATCGCGCACTTCCGCCGCTGGCTCCTGCCAGCCCCAGGCGACGGTCTCTGACCTCCGGTGCCCCTCTCTCGCCCCCGTAGTTTCTGGTGTCTGCAAGTTCCAGCGCCACTTGCTGCGAATCTGCCCCGCGCTCCGTCCCAGACGTGGCCTCAGGCTCCACCCCGGCAGCCGCTCTCTGCTGCGCATCCTACGATGGTCGACTGCTGGGCAGTGCGCGGCCGGAGCTGGGCGCGGCCTTGGGCCTCTATGGAGGCCCCTACGCGGCCGCTGCAGCTGCCCAGAGCTACCCCAGCTACCTGCCCTACAGCCCGGAGCCGCCCGCGCTGTACGGGGCGCTGGTGAGTACACCAGGTGGATCCTGGGTCTGTGCGCCAGAACCCACCCGCCTGGGGACACGAGGGGCAGCAGAGGGTGAAATCCAGTGCGACATCTCCAGAGAAAATCTAGGAAGGATGCACGACTCCGAGGAAAGGAAATGGTTAGGATTGTATGTAAGGAAAAAAGAAAATACATCTTTACAGTGTTTTACAGTTTGCAGAACCCCATACTGTTTAGAAAACATCTGTACCTCTGTTAATTCTGTGAGGTAGGCAAGTCTCAGTTTACAGATGAGGAAATTGAGATGCAGAGGGATTCAAATACTTTACCCAAAGTCAAAGATACAGAGGGTCAGGGAATACCTCTGGAAGGCGAGTAAGGCAAGGAAGTTCCCCAGCTGGTGGGGAGGGGGTTGGGGGGAGACACAAGTAGTAACAGTAATAATAACAGCTAGTCATTAACTACTGCTTATTCTGCACCAGGAATTCTGCCAAGTGCTCTTCTGCAATAATCTATGGGTACTATTGTTATCCCCATTTTACCAAGGGGAAACTGAGGCATAGAGTGGTTAAGCAACTGCGCCCAAGATCACACAGCCAGTGCAGTGGTGGTTGTGGTATTTGAACCAGAGTTCATAGTTTGAGCAACTACTCCACCCCACCTCCTTCCCAAATGTGGTCCTGAATTCTTTCTTCCTCCCCTACCAGAATCCACAGTATGAATTTAAGGAGGCTGCAGGGAACTTCACACCCGGCCTGGCGCAACCAGGAGCCTATTATCCCTATGAGCCCACTCTGGGGCAGTATCAGTATGACCGGTAAGGCATGGGGCCCATTGGTGGCTGGCATCACAAGTCCTTCCCCCTCCCCTGCCCATCTGGGGTGAGCATGGGAAGGGGTTTGTATGGAGGGAGGGGAGCAGAACCTCCCTTCCAGGCCAAAGACTGTCTCCTGCCTGCAGCCCCAGAATTCTGAGCCAGGCTTTCCCCGCAGGTACGGAGCGGTGGAGTTGAGTGGCGCCGGGCGCCGGAAGAACGCCACCAGGGAGACCACTAGCACGCTCAAGGCCTGGCTCAATGAGCACCGCAAGAACCCCTACCCCACCAAGGGCGAGAAGATCATGCTGGCCATCATCACCAAGATGACCCTCACTCAGGTGTCCACCTGGTTCGCCAACGCACGCCGGCGCCTCAAGAAGGAGAACAAGATGACCTGGGTGCCCAAGAACAAAGGTGGGGAGGAGAGGAAGGTGGAGGGCGGAGCAGAGGAACCACTGGGCTGCCTCAACAGTGACACCAAAGGTACTAAAAATGTTCCCCACCCCACCTTATGATTTTTCCAGCCATCCAGCAGTTTGATTGGATTTTCCCAGCGGCCCTGGGGGGGGGGTAGATTTTACAGAGGGCACTCCCTTCCTTACTCTTGCACTTGCATCCCCAGCATGCCTCAGGGTCTTTGCCAGTGCAGTTCCCTCTGCCTGGAATTCCCTATGGAACCAGCTTCTTATCTATTTTAAAGTGTCACCTCCGGAAAGCCTTCCCTGGCCACCCAAGCCAATGTAGTTTCCCAGTTATTCTCAGTCACATCAGCCAATTTTATTTTCTTTGCCATATTACCACTGTGAGAAAGTACGGACATCTGTCTACCCCCTCTAGGATGTCAGCGACACTAGAAAGTGTCTTATCCGCTGCTGCATTCCCTAAATTCCTAATACTAAATGCCTAAATGATGTCTGGTACATAGTTGGTACTCAGTAAATATTTGCCTAATTAAATAATACACACCAGCCACCTGTGGGTGTTGAAATTGGGTAAAAACTGCCCCCTCGCTTTTTCACAGCGGAGAAACTGCGATCCAGGGCTTAGGCAGCACAAACTGGCGCTTTCCTTGGCCTGGCGATGCCACGGAGAGGAGGCGTCTTCAAGGGGTGGGGGCAGGGCTGGGGGCGGGAATTCTTTCTCAGAGGCAGGCCCCAGTCCTAGGGCAAGTTTAAGAGATGGTGCGGCCAGCCTGGTGAATTACACCAAGAATATCCAGAGTGCAGGGCGCGTCTTGCTAAAAGCTTCTCAGGGATGGGCACTCTTGAGGATTTCCCTTGGGGCCTGGGGCTTTTCTCACTCGCTCCTCTTCCTGCAGACGTTACTGCTAGCCAAGAGGTTCGCAGGCTCCGGCTGAGTGACCTGGACGACCTGGAGGAAGAGGAGGAGGAAGAGGAGGCCGAAGAAGAGGAGGCAGTGGCCACAGCTGCGGACAGGCTGGCGGAGTTCCATAAGGACACGCAGTCGCTGCCAGCGCCCTGCGCTGCTGCTCGAGAGGCCTGGCCGGAGCGCAGGGAGTGCGGCCTGGGGGCGCCCCGCTTCTCATTCCATGAGCCCCTGCGGTCGGGAGAAGCTGACTTTCTCCGGGCGGAGCCAGGGGGCCACACATTGACCATGCACTATCCAGGCAGCAGCGAGAAACCGCGCATCTGGTCTCTGGCGCACACTGCAGCAGCCGGCACCGTCGAAGGTGCCCCTCCAACCCCGCCCAGGCCACGAAGTCCTGATTGCCATCTGATTCCCGGACAGCTTCCAGGCTCGGGCGCGCGACCTGCTGTCCCCAGAGACTCCGCGTGCGAAGAGCCTTCCCCAGTAGCCAAAGCCTTTGGAGACCCCACGTTTGCCCTGCAGGGCCTGCCGCTGAACTGTGTGCCGTGCCCGCGGCGGAGGGAGCCGGCAGTGCAGTGCCAGTACCTGTCCGGAGCGGAAGGTAGTGGGCCCCTAAGGGCGCTGGGAGTCTCTGTCCGAAAGACGTGTGCCCGCCGTGCTGCCCCGCCGTTGCACGCTCTCTCTGCCTCTCACGCATGCCCAGGTTCAGACCCAGCGCGATGCTGTCTTAGCACTTCTTGAAACGGAAGCTTAGAGATAAAAGTTCTAGTTCTCCCTCATTTTAAAGCTGAATAATAGTAATAAGCTCAGAGTGAGACAGTAACTTAACTAGGATCACTTAGAAAATCATGGAAGCGATGGGCAACCTAGATCTCTGCACTCCTGTCCAGTGTTCCACCAAATGCGCCAGGTGGGCGCCATCATGACCCTCTGGCACAGGGGCCCTTGTCCCCTGCCTGCCCTTCAGAGGAGGCCAGCTGGCTCCTGCTGTTCTTGTACCAAAAGTTTGGGCAGGCACCAGGACGTTTCAAGAAGTCTGAGGGGAAGGGCCAGACACAATTGATTTAAGGCCAGTGCTTAAGTCCAGCTTGCAGCCCTCTCTTCTGCCCACTAAAACCGCTGGGGAGCTTAGTCCAAGGTCATTGCCATTCCTGGAGAGCACTCATCCCCCAGAGCTCAGGGTATGACTGCCACTCAGTGTCTCCTGCCCCTGAGTGGTTCTCTGGCTGTGCCTGGTGGAAGGGAATTTCACCCCACAAAGGCACATTCCCCAAGCCTGTGGCAGCCTCCAGCACTTACTGTCAGATTCTGCTCTTTGCAGTGATTTCTCTCAGGATTGGCTACTGGCTTAGAAAATTGGGTTACACTGTTATTTGAATGTACACATAACGGGGTCCAAATGTTACCTCTGGCAAGCAAATTACCTCTAGACCTTGGATTCCCTTCGGATAAGACACAACCAACCTCTGATTTCCTAGGAATCTCCACCAAGCGGCCTCCGGGTTTTAATCAACCTTTCCTCTCTCAGCAGGTTAGCGCATTGGCTGCGATTTGCGGAAGAATCTTGGAAATCTGCCCTACTTTGCCAATTCACCTCCACACTAAGAATCTGGGAGACCTCATCAGGGACAGGGGGCTCTCACTTCGACTAAGAGACGGACAGACAGACACGCAGAAACCCTCCCAACAGCCCTCCTTGCACGCTGAGCTGAGAGTGGCTGGCAGACGTGCATCTTGTCAGATCCCACAGAGGAGGTGGCAGGGCACCTGGGGGAAGGCCAAGTTGGAAGGTTGGGCTAGTCTGCTGGATGCACCCACTTGGTATACCAAGGCTCCCTTCCTCCTCTGATTCAGGGTCTGAAGCCGCTCCCTCTCCTGTGCACCCCCACCCCCCTCACTTTGTAACTTCAGCGCTGACCTGGCCCCTAAGGCCGCGTGCGTCTTCGCCCCCTTCCCACTCCTTGTATCCTTAAAAATAATCAAACGGAACCTAAGCTGTGTGGCCTGTCTGTGCCAGGGGCGTTTTGAGAGGTCGGGGTGGAGGGGAGGGTGGAATGCGGCCAGGGGTTCTGGGACAGGGCAGCGTGGCCCGCAGACCTCAGTCCCTTTCGCGGAGGGAGGGAAACTGACAAGGTAACCGCTAAGGCCGCCACGCCTCCTCTTAACCACCAAACTCTGCGGGTAACCAAGCCTGCCTGTGCTTTGGAGGTGGGGGGCCGCAACTGTGAGGTCGGAGGTGGCGGGAGCTGTCAGGATATTCATCTGGAAGCTGCATTTGCTTCAAGGTTCATACTTGGGTTTTAAGTTTATTGCGCGGAGGGGCGATAGGGATGATCTTGACCGTCCCTTGGCAAGCGCGAGGACCCTCGCGCTCCTCCGGGACGGAATGGCAAAGTGTGACAGCTTGCCGGGTCGATTTGAGGCAAGAGGGGGTCATTCTTTCCATTTAATCGAGTGTCAGCAAACACTTCCGGTGCAGGCCAACCAATAGGAGCTGACGGGCGGGGAAGGGGGCTCTGTTCCCCCTAGCCAGCAGTGTCGAGAGAAGGGCTGGGGGGTGAGAGATTGTAAGATGCCCGCTCAGGGCCTGAGTTCGCGTCCCCGGCCTATAGCGGCTTCGGCGTTAGCAGCGATTGAGCTCGCCGCTGCTCACAGGGATGGGGGGAGGGAACCCGGGACAGAGTCCTGGGGAGGAGCTCCGAGGAGCTGACGGAGGCGGGAAGGCAGGAGGAAGGGCAGCGGGGGTGTGCGCCTACGCGCTGGACCCCTGCGGAGCGGTGTCTCCACTGCTGGGCTCTACCCGGGCCGCCTGGCTGGGTGAAGGCCTTCCACACCAGCGCGGGCGCCAGCCGGCCAGTCACTGAAGTCGCGGGCGGGAAGGGTCTGCATCCTCCTCGGGAGGAAATTTTTAAAACTCTTGGAGGCTGCGGATGGATGTTGGAAAAACTGCGGGCAGCAGGCGTCGTGCCACCACCCAGCCCCACCGTGTCCTCTTTTCTATAGAATGATCAGAGTCAGAAGGGGCTTTCGAGATCACGAATTACAAAAATACAAACCCCTTCCTCAGATGAGGAAACTGAGGCCAAATGGGAGGGCAAGGGACTGGCTCAGGGTCACACAGAATCCGTGGTGGGGACGGAGTCCAGCATTCCACTCAGGGTCCAGTGCCCCTTTCCAGGTCAAGCTCCACTCTCTCGCGTCCTCAGGAAGTCCCCTCTCTGCTTTCGTTTTCCTTCTGGGCAACAGCTGCTCCCACCCCCAACTTCCCCAGGGACCCTCCAGTCGCCCTCACTGACCCGCGGCTTAGGGTCTGGGAAATTAAACTGCGAAAAGATAAACATTATTTCCAGTCGGCTTTGCGGGATTAACGCTTGTAATAAAGAGCATTAGCTGGAGGTTTCTTTCAAGGCGCTCTCGACCCCACTCCCTCCTGGGGGGCCGGGTAGACCCCTCCGGAGGCTGCGAAGTCAGGCAGAAGCTTGTGCCTAGGGCCTCCAGTTGGGAGTGGGGCTCCTGCTAGCCCTTTTGTGGAGAGGAGAGGGTCCCTTAGCATCACATTGAGTCAGCGTTTGAAGATGGGAAACTGAAGGGCAGAGAGAAGGGACCCACCTAAGCCTGAGGTCATGTTACTGAACAGGGACTGGGATCCAGAGAGAGGAGGATGGAGAGTGGGGGAGGATCTCACCTGCCACTGCCTCCAGCTGTAGGCCTTTTATAGGAACGGTGGCATTGGGAAATGAGTGCCACTTGGGTCTGCCTGCCTTCCCACCCAGGACCTCAGGAGGCTGTCTCTCCATCTCTTGTCTGGGAGGCCTGGCCTCTCTCCACCTGCCCCAACCCAGAGCAGAAGCCTGTAGTCCAGGGTTGTCCCAAAGATCTGCACCTGGTTGGCTGGGCTGAAAAGAGTAGCTGAAGTCCCAAGAAAGGGATTTACCATCTCAAGCCCATTACTACCTTGCTATATGGGTGTGAACAAGCCCCTTCCCCTCTCTTAGTCTCCCCAGCTGTAAAACACAGGGATGATCTAACTATCCTGGTGCTCAGAGTCTGCTCCGGAGCTGATGGGAGCTCCAGGAGGATGGGTGAAGGGCCTGAGAATGGCACGTCTGAGCCGGTGATTATCCCAGCCTCAGGCCCCCAGCAGCAATCTGTTCCCACCATCTCTGCCCCCACTGAGAGCTCCTGCAAATCTCCCAATATAATCTCCCAGAATCATATTTTGAATACTGTTTTGATTAAACAGCAGAGCCAGGGGAGGGAGGACGCAGCCCCGCTCTCCTCTGCTGAGCCTGCTGGTGCCCACAAACAGCTGGCCCGTGACCTCTGCAAAGTGAATGCCAGTAAACGCAGAAAGGTGGCATTCTGGGGCTTGGGAAGTCTGTAGGAGCTGGACCTCCAAACTCCCTTGATGGCTAAAGTGCCCCTTCCTTTGGCTGGGGAGCAACCACCAGGGGGCTAGGTTGAGAGAAGAAGTTGAACCAAGGAAGCCACAGCACACCAGTGTCTTCTTCCTTTATTGATTCCTCTCCCGCCAGAAGTCACTACATGGACATTGGACTCACGAGATGATCACTTTTGGCTCTAAGATCCTATGACCCTGGTAATGGTCATAAGAGCTTCTGGAGACCTTACCGTGTGCCAGACTCAATGCCATGTCCTTTAATGCACTGACTCATTTATATGTCATGACAGTCCCAGGGAGCATTATACTCACTAGTATGCCTGTCTAATGAAGGAGGAAACAGGAGGTCAGAGAAGTTAAGTAACTCGATTTCAGTTATCCCGCTAGCAAGTAAAGAAGTCAAACTCTGGACTGATTCTTAACCATTAAGCTCTATTGCTAATGCATTGTATTATTTTAAGATTCTTTTATTCTATTACGTATAAGAGCCTATGTTTCTGAGACTCTAAATATCCATGAGTCCATTATCTCATGCCTCTAGAACTCCAACTTGTCCTCCTTCCTTCTCAGGAATGCCCAATGGAAAAAGATTTCTGGTGCCTCCTGGACCTACCCCCATATCCTGGCTGAGAGCATCCCCACCCTTTTTCACTGCCCACATTGCCCTGGGACATGGCTGTCTGAGACATCCTTGGTCAGTGTTGGGCAAAATTTAGCTCATGGATCTCCACCATCAAAATCAGCCCGTAATTAAAGAATCCCACTGGGCTGTGGGCTGGAAGATCTGCCTTTGTGACAAGCACCCTAGGTGGTCTGATGGGCCTCTAACCTGAATAGCAGTGGCTGAACCTCAAGTCACCAGACTCTAAGCTTGCAATGAGGGCTTAGGACACCTGCTGTTAGAGTAAATTGTATCCCAGGAACAGGTGCAAACATTTTCTCCAGGATTTAATCTGGATTCACATTCAATATCCTCATCTAGTTCAACTTTTTTTTTTTCCCCCCACATTCTGAAGCTCAAAGTCTTGTTGTTATCGGTCGGGGAGGACATGACCTAGGAGACTTGCCTCTCCCATCTGTCTGGAGACAAACTAGGGTTCCAGGGTTGGAAGCATCTTAGGAGTCCCCTGTACCTCAGCATGTAAGAGAATTCTGTCCCCAAACATGAGCATGAAGTCAAGAATCCCTACACATTTGGGGAAAGCCAACACCAGGAAGGAAAGACTGTATCTTAAGCAAATAAAAGAACCAATGGAGGGGGTGGGCCTCTTGCGTTCTCCTGACATAGGAGTTGCAGCCTTGGGGACATTAGAAAGTTCTTTCTTTTTTGAACCAAACTTTTTCTCCATGTAACTTCTAAAATCTGTCTCCTGAGCCGTTGTCTCACTCTTCTCCATGACTCATTCTTTCTCCCACCCTCCATGCCTCCTCTCCCCTTCTCCCCCTTAGTGAGACTTGTCTGCCCCTTACTCTGAGATCAGAGTAAGAATGGAGTGTAAAGGCTATCTCCTAGTTATGTAGCGGAGGACCCCTTCTATTGGCAAGATTTTCTTCATTAAATGTTAAGTTGGGGGGAGGGGGGGAACGGTGACCCGAGTCCTTGAGTAAGTCACCAAGTGTCTCTGAGACTCAGCTTTCTCCTGATGAGTTGGGATCATGTTAAACCATGTGACTGTTTTATAATTTCTCTAGTTTTCTTGCTTAGCTGCCATGAGGACAAAGATTTAGATCAATGTTATTTGAATTTTGGTCAATGGCAAACCAACTCCCAGATTTTTGCCAAGAGTTGGAGAGATGTTAAAGACAAGCTCGCACCAAACAGGGGCTTCTCCTTTGTGAGTGAGAGGATTGAAAGAGAGTTGAAAAGGGAATAATTTGGGTCACTCTGAGACTCAGTGTTATTTAACGCCATGACCAGCTCGCAACACTGCTGGTACACATTCTACCCTTTGCCGAGTTAATCTGTATTAATGTAAAGGGTGATTATTATTTATGAGATCATCAGAGACGGATGTCTTCCCTCATTGTCTGGGACTATCTCCAAAATCCAATTTGGCTTTATTGAAAGTATTAGAGAACCTGCCCAAGAACAATAATGCCAACAGTGATAATGATGACCAGTCCAGAGCAGGAGTTCTCAAACGCGGTGCTGCATAAAGTCAGCCAGGGAGGTGGTTTGTTTTATTTTGATTTTTGGTACCAATATCCAAGCTGTACCCCAGACCAATTAAATTC